GATTTCAAATCGAACTCGCGCTGCGCGGTCGTTCGATTTTGAAATCACGCGTATGATTTCAAACCAAATTGCACTCCACTCAGTTCAATTACCATTATGTATTGTCGTGATAGAATTAATGGCAATTTGACACCTGCACAACGAAGCTGCTATGTTTTGTAGAAGCTAAACAGAACTTTCTGTTACACCACTAAACTAATCATGTACGAAAAAATGACCGATCAGGCATTATCCCAGAAATAAGGAGTCCATTAAACTAAAGAAAAATGTTCAGAAGAAGTAATAAAACTGACAGGAATACCGATGGCGCAAGAAGTGTCTTCCTTAGTAATTATTTTCAGTCTTTACGCACGCCCGGTCCGGCATGGATGAAAAGGGGCAATGGTATACAACGAGTACATTAAATTTGGTTTCACAGTGGTAATTAAATATTCTAGAAAATAATATTAAACAAGAACACTCATTTGTCCTGACATAAGCTTGGTTTTCACTAGCGACGCAAGCACAAGCCCAAGAACAAGGGTAAACACAATAATTCTTATTTCACCGTGAAAATGGCCTTGACGTAGGCATAAGCACAAGCTCACAAAAATCAAGATTTTTCCTTTTTTTGTGCTTGCGCTTATGCTTGCGTTTGCACTGCAACAAGTGAAAACGAAATACCGCTCAGGCATACCACAAGCACAAGGATATTTACCACACGTGGTTATGTTTGGCCAGTGAAAACACTGCATCCAGATTACCTCGCGCCTAAACAGTTAGCAATGTACGGATGATTTTGCTAGTGCTTGTGTTTGCGTCGAATTTCGTTTCAACTTGGGTCATCCCTAGTGCTTGCGCTTGCCTCGCTAGTGAAAACCAGGCTTTAGAGTAAGTAAATGCGATTTTAGTTTTAGAGACTGTTTGCCATCTCGATCACGATCTTTTAAATATGTCTTTGAAATAAGTCTTCAGATGTGTATACAGGCACTGTCCTATAATCTTTTGACTTGAGCGAGTATTCCTGAAGAGAGACTAACAATTATTTTACCAAAATCTTCAACAAAAGTTTCTAAAATAATACGACTAGACAAAGTTATTTTCGAACATCTTTGTCTGTCATATTCAGTCAAGAAAGTTTTTTTACTATTCAGAAGTCTGTGAACAATGTCACAAGATAAAGTCAGGGAAGTGAACGCGTTATTGATCTGAGAGAATAATATTGATGTAGCGCGTGACCCGATACGTATATACAGTAACTGCACAGTGTTGTCAGGGCTGAAATTAACAAATATAATTCGAGTTGATAATTTGATGACACTTAAAACAAAGGCTACTCTTCCAATCGGTAATGCGATCTCTTTGAAATCCAGTGTTACTCTTCAGGGGGCGGAAAGACTATTTGCAAAAATGAAAGGTGATATCTCTCGAAGAGCAATACATTTGGTTTGGTTTTGTTTGAATTGGGCAGATTTGTTACTCGTCGTGAGTAGTCTGTCAACCCAGCAGATGAGACTTGTCGCTTTGACTTGTAATCGTACACCAAACATGTTTGGGCAATGACAGACACATGTCTTATTTTGGTGACCAAAAGATAATATGACATGATGAAATTCATAAGAAAATCGTGAGTTGCACGGGTTCGAATTACCGTACAAACGCCACGTTGGACGTTAAAACCTACTGCGGTAACGACAAATGTCGCTTGTATATGTCGTTCGCTTTGTATGAAGGTTCATTCGACGACGCTCACAAGACAACACAGATTGTTAGAAGGCAATGCGAGAAATACCAGTTGACTGGGTAAGTTTGTAAATAGTCCCTTCAAATAAATTGAATGAGTCATGAGAACAGAGATATGATAAGCTGTTGAAGTACTTGATCGAGTTCGAGCTAAAAGGTTTGGCTTGTAAATTATTTTCGGTCTTTAATTTTGTGCCCAACATCATGCCACCATAAAATAAATACAACTGGGGCTTGGCAGTTAGTAGACGTTAGTTAAGTTAGGTTAGTTGTAGGACCACAAGCGCAAACAGAGGCGAAGAATGAAAGATGAGACCGGAAAAAACAATGAAATTTCGTTGTTGTCAAAACAAAAATTAGCTTTTCGAAAACGCGAGCTCGTGAACCATCCTTTCCACTTCCTTTGTATTCCATTTACTTTGTGGCGCAGAAGAAAAGATTTATGTGAATTAAGTAATGGTAGCGTGTGTAGGGTCATATGACACCAACAAATCACATATTATATCGGTGGAAGACAGGAAATCCAACCAAGTCTTTATATTTCGGGGTATCATATTTTGTTGACTATCTAATCATCAGGAAATAGCGCCTTTTTGAAAAGTGGTTTCAAATTCCGTAGTCTCGCCGTTCTGCCGATTATATTATATTCAAAAATCGTCTTATTAGATGGTAATTGCAAGATTTGTTTCTGTAGATGGTAATTGCTAGATTTGTTACTGTAATATGAAATAATTGACAAACTCAGAACAGATTACAGAAGTGCTGTTTACGTGTTGTTTATGGAAGAATTCTGCTTATGTTAAGCTCGGTCGAAAGGTCATTTGCGTCAAGTATTTTGTTGTATAAATTATCGTGCAATCCGGCGATGAAAATTGCAGTTGGTTTTTTCCGCTGTAATTACTTTCATGTCCCCGTTTTAGTGCAATTAGTTGAATCTATCAAAATGTTACTGTTTGTTAATTGACCTACTATTAAAGTTATACAGTCGAACCTATCCACAATGCGGACACTATCACCTCATATGGTCCCATGCAGAGAAACTGCAGAATTGGAGATCACATGGAACGGTTCGGTATGACTGGAAAATTTCTGGAAAAAACACAGGAGCGCCTTTGAAGGAGGCCGTTCCATTGTGACAAACCGGTTAATTGCTCTACTTCTCTCCTGTAGATTTTCAATTATGTGGGGTATTTGGGGAAAGGAACTGGAAATGATGAGAGCCATTTTTCTCGGTTTGAGAGGAAAATGTCGCTCCATTTCACAGCCGTTGGTCAGACTGGTCAATCTGATAAAATGGACCAGGTGTAGTCAATCGATAAACCGATGATCGATATTAATCGACAACAATCGATATCAATCGAAGATTGGTATCGATTGCCGGTAGCAATCGATAAAAATCGATAAAGAAAAAAAGTGGTGAGTTGTCGATTGTTATCGATTGCCGATAGTAATCGATAGCGATTGATTCATCGATTGGTATTATTTTTGTCCTTTTACAAGTTACACTGATGAAATGTTTGACAAAATTTGTCTATAATGGTTTTATTGAGTCAATTATCATAGCCTACGTATCTTTTGCAATTATTGACAAAATAATAAGAACGGAAACAACTGGCAGAAATATTCTGGACTTTACATCTTTCTTTGCTAGTTTTAGACTACGAGTAGTCGGTTTTTGTTCCTAAAATCCTCCGCGCGCGGAACTCAGTTGATATTATGCAAATTAGGGAAAGAAGCGAAGAGAGAATGGGGAAACGCAAGGTAAAGAAAGAGACTGCTCGCAGTCCAATGCTAGTTTACTACACGGGAAGAAGTTCATCCCAGATTAGCAGCGTAAAACCCTCGAGCTCCAGTCTCATTGTACCGTCGGCCTCATGATGAAGCAAAATAGACAACAGAGCTAGGCAGTGTTCTAGTGATTTCAATTATTTGTATTAGGATATAAACGTAAGAATAGGTCTCGGTAGTAGGCCGAAAGGAAAATATAATCTAACTCGCGTTGTTCCAGTATTTTACACAATAACAAAGACATCTTTGAATAGTCTGGGTGGTTATTGTCGATTTTTTCTAAAACCTCAAGGGGAGTTTTAGGAAACAGAATGTGATTTCAGTGTAAGTCCTTTTGGATCTTCACCAGATAATTCACCTGGTTGGGTGTTATCATCAAATGTGTCCCTGACAGCTGGTATTTCCAGTATTACATATATCTTGTGAAATCACTGCATCCACTCACATTTGTTGAGGAGTCTAGTGACCCTCTGTGCTTGCAGGGTGATTATTCCATGCCTCAACTAGGAGATTTAACTGGTTGTTAATCCTGGAAAGAAATGTGTAATGCAAACAGAACGGATCGATCGTGCTGGTCGATTCCAGGATGCCATTTTCTTCCATCTGGTAGAACAGGGTTTAGTAGAACTGACTGACTCCAATGAAGACTTCTCTCCAGAGACACTCAATTCACTGGTTGAGTACAGACAACCCAGCAATTTTGCTTCCCTTATTAAATTCCTTGTGCCATAGCATAGCTCTTTCTAGCTCTAAATTTTCATCCCCTTCGTCTGAACACACTCTAAAGGGCAATCCATAACTTTGCACAGCAGCTAAGAACAGAGCGAGCCCAGTCGCAGCAGAATTGTTTGTTGTACAACTTAAAGTCTAAAAACCCTGTCAAAGCCACCATGTATTACAAACCTCCAACTGATAAGGCAGTGTAGTCCATCAATGTGCCAGAGAGAATTAGGTCCCCTGACGCTGTAAACACGCCTTGTGGTGGTATTGAGCCACCTCATAGCAGACCCCGCTGGGTCAGGTCGAAATAAACTTTCCCTTACACGCTGACGCTGAACATAGATATTTCTACTTCGTAAATGACCCAGCATGATACTGATACCACTCTTATTTCTCGAATCATCATTTCGTCTAAATTGTATAATAACATCGACTGGAGAATGACTGAATAGAGTAGCTCTGGAAACTAATTTTGATATCTGGGACCAAGTAAATCTTATTCTTTTTTTTTTCTTAAAAACTCCCCTTGCATTGATATTTCATTGGCTGGACGACACGCTCTTCCATTAGAAGCTGATAGTCCAGGTGACAAAGCCTTATGGGGCGTACTGAGGTGAATGAATCTGCTCTTACTGCAAACATTTTCCATCAATGTAGTAAGTATTGAATTTGTCTCACCAGCGATTCAAGAGGCAGAATTCTATCAGCATTCGCTTGGGCACCTCTGTCCAATGAATCAACTAAACGGTGAACAGAATCCACAGCAACTTCACGAAGAACGATCACATTACGATCAGCGTGAGGATAAAATCTTGAACAGTCACTCAAAAGACGCATAACTGTTTCTAGAAGTTCAGTCACTGGGGAGAGCTGCAGTAACAAACATTAAATAGCAGATAGACCAAGACAAGGCATTTTACTACTGCCACCATAATGACGATTTATAGTTAAAGTAATTTTCATTGTTATCATGCACGAACAGCAGTTCTGTCAAAAGGCACATTTCGTGCCTGCATATACAACGTAATTTGAGAGACCCGCATATACGCGCATTTTAGCACGCGTATATATGGGTCTTTTTAGGACGCGTATAATTGGGCATTTATTTCGCATATCCCGCGCTTGAGTCTACGCAAATATGTGACCCTTTAAAAATGCGTATATACGCGATTTAAATGGTCGTATATATAGGCTCAAAGCCCATACGTAACGTATGTAAACAAGTATACGCGGCAGAAAAACCCGTGTATACCCTTTTGTAATTTTGAAACGATACCTGCGTAGCAGGCGTTTCCAAGAAACCACGCGAAGGGAACGAAACTACGAGCGAATGCGAAAAATAGGAGCAGGGGGAGGGAGTGAGGCAAGGGAAGGAAACGCCTGCAATCAATCCCTGGACTGCAAAACAGTACTATTTTTTGCGAACGCGGGCGACGGTCAATATACGAAAGGTCTGGGGCGAGTGTAAAAACGACGTGTGAGGCTCGCGCGCTTCACACGCGAGGATTGCTCTTACGGCGCTTCGTACCTTCCGAAAACGACTGTTTTGCAGTCTATCAATCCCAGACGTTTTACCGAACGCCCCCAGACATGCCGCACTCCCTTTGGGAGCCAACAGTCATTTGAGAACCAATGATCATTAACGTCCGGTAAATCATTTTTGACAAGCGCCCAGCATGAGCTTGATAGAGTCCGCTAAAAGCAAATATAGCCTGCAAGCAGGCTCCCGGCGAGGAAAGCGAGCGGACGAGCGCGAAACTGAAAAATTCGGAGAGCGAAACGATCGGGGCGGACTCGCTGGAAGCCTGTTCGCAGGCTAAGAGCAAATGGTGCGCGTAAATACGATTCCTTTTTATAATGATATGGCCTCGGATTGGGCCATTTCCGAGTTCCCTTGTGCCTCTGTTTAAGGTACGAGTTTAAGTGCAAAACCATTTCATGAAAATGACTTTGATCTGTATGAAAATGAACCTGTAGGGCGAACTCATTTTCATATATGAATGGTTTCGCACTTAGACTCGTTTTGACACAGAAGCAAAAGGGAACTCGGAAATGGCCTATTGCCGCGACTGCCCGGGGGGGGGGNATCAAGCTCCCCATATCAGACCCCAACAAACAATACGAGACCCCAACCTACCATATCAGACCCCCGGGGGGCGGTGCTTTAGGAATTTCTGGGTGGGGATATGCCGCTGGGACCCTGGAATCTTTAGCCTATACCAGAGCTAATTCAACTAAAATTTGCTAACCTATACTAGAGTAAACTCCCCAAATCCTCCCATCTATCGACACTGTTGAGGCTGATATGCGTAAATTTAAACTTGTCGATTTGATTTTTTTATATTTTGGGGTGGCAGTTCCTGGTTTCCTTAATCTAGATAAAATTTTCAACCAGCCAGTCAGTTTTGTGAAAAATGATACCCTATTCTAGACCCAAACGCTCTGATTGATATACCCTATCCTAGAGTAAACCCTTCACAGCGGCACATATCTATATAGCCCATATATGGCAGTGGCCCCCCCCCCCGGCGCGACTGTCATTGTTTGGAAAATGGAGCAACATACACTCGATCAAATCAGTTGGTGCAAGAAACATAGGAACGTCTCTGTACAAATGTATGGATTTCTCGAAGTAATGCTATGGCAGTCTCTGAAAGAAAGCAGGACGAAGATATGATATCCGTGATATCGTGATAACAAGCAATGTACTGTACTTGGCAGTTCTACTGAATCAACCAGCCGGGCGGCACAATAGATGTGCATAACGAAATATGTCAAACTTTTTCCCTCGAAAACCAATACTTAGAGACTTAAAAAACCTACCGTGCAATAGATAACAACCGATAGAAACTGTGAGCACATGACAAATTTTAAAAAAGAGGTGTCAAACTCTGTGAAGCGACATGCAGATAACGGCGGTAACCATGTATACCTATCACCTCAAAAAAAACTGCAAAAGCACTGTCTGACGGCTCCACAGTTCCTAAAATTCCTCATAATAACACAAGATAAACAAATGTGAAGCAAAGAAAGGTCGAGAGACAGAAAAGAGAACGGCAAATGTACAAATGTCACGAACCGTAGGAGTCGTGTAGGCCCGTCAACCCCATTTTACACTGGACAGACGTTGAGAATACATGCCGAAGCTTTTAAAATTTTCTTCACTCCCACGAATATTTGATTGGATTGCAAGGATATCCTGTCCACGGACTGGACTCTAATGGCAGCCTCTTGCTTCGGTTTTAGATCGATGTGTTCGCCGTTTTGTGAAAGATCTTTCAACTTTTCCAAAACAGGAAATTCCAACGCTTCCTCGGACTCGGCCATATGTATTTTGATTTTGTCACTGATGTCAGTCTTTGATTGACGGGTTACTACCCAATCAGATTGCACTATTGCTTCCCATTCGTGGGCGAACGGATTTCGCTAAAATGTTCAGGATTGACTGCAGGCGATTCCTTTTCTCCCCACCCCTCCCCCCTTCTCGTTCACTCCCTTCCGACTTCTCCCCATTTCTTTCTCACCCCAGGTGCGCTCCTTCGCTCGCCCGCTTGCTCGCTCGCCCGCTTGCTCGCTCGCTTGTTCGATATCTCCGCCTGAAAAGGAAAGGAAACGGCTGCTACGCAGGCTATCCCTTGAATTAATAAAAGTATGTTCGGGACTGGTCAATCTAGACGCTGCGAAAATTTTCAAGACCGAGTGTAATGTTTGTGATCTGGTCTTAGGAATCCGTCACTGCAATATAGGCTCACAACATGGAATCTGTGGAAATTCCCATTAAAAGAAGGTACGTAGTTACGCACATCAAACCCTAAATACATTTATTAGGGTCGGAAAGGGGTTTTGAGTATGAGCGTAAAGAGGGGGTTACGTTTTGAAATTAGATATACGTTAATTTTGCATTGAAATATGGAAGTTTGGTGAAAACTTCTAAATCCTCGCCAATCAAACCCATCCTAGTTCTTTCATAGTTTATTTTGACCTCTTTGGTGTTCCCAGTGAGAGCATGTGATCTTATTTATTTAGCTATTCCCTCGTGGGTGAACCGTTCCACTCTCCTTCGGATTAGACTTTAACTCTAGAAATAATCATAGGAGACTAGGGATTTTTTTATATGGCAAAGTCACATTACTTTTTTATCTTTACTTCTCAGGAGATTTGTGACACCAAGAGAGACTGGTGAGTATCTTCTTTTTCTATAACATCCATAACATCGCCAAAGGACTCTGAGGGGGCGGGGGTACTGTGGACTATGTTCTGCTGGAAGTTGGATATACTGACTGCAGCCCTGAGGAGGAGGGAGGATGTTGGTGAAGCAGCACATCCTTGGTGGTCACACTGGGAAGATTAGGGAAGATCCTTACTTATAAATTTCATGTTTAAGCCACAGTTGAAATATGTGTCTTTCACTTGTCCCTTCCTTGTTGCAGATGAAGAATGTGCAGAAGAGACAATTGAAGGGCATGCTGTTGTACATTTGGATGCAAACATTTTGCACAGGATCAAGCAAGAGCCAGTAGATTATAATGAAACACCAGAATATACTTGCGTCACGTTTCAACAGGACAGTGAAAATTCCTTAGAGGAACTGTTGCCGAAACATTCTACCTCAGATGAAGGTAATTTACAAATACAAACAACAAGCGGTGACCAAGGCGATGAGATTTGTTCTGTCCCACGGGAGAATCAGGAATCACCTGAGGGAGAAGACCAAAGTGATTTAACTGAAGTGTCAGCATCTCTGAAATCTGCGTCTTCCGTCACAGACACATCAGGAGTTCGTAGGAGTTCGCGCCAGCGCCATTTAGTACAACGACTATCATCTCAACACAAAGGGAAGGCATCTACCGACTTTCAAACACAGAGCCCTGAAGCACAACCAGTTAGCAACCAGAAGAACCTATTAAGGACTGTTCACAGACGAGATACGAGCAGTACCAGTCAACGTGTCTTTCCAAACGAGTTGTCTGATCAAGGACGATTAGGCGCAACACAAACTTATGATATAATAAGCGATGAAAGTGATTTCTTCAAACGACGATTTCGCAAGGTATGATATCAGGATAGTCTTCTAACGGAAGACGCGAAAAGGCCTTCAACCCTTAGACGTACACACAAACTCATCCCCCTCAATGGTATAAGGGGAGGGGGTAGATGAAGCCCCTCTCCCGGGGTTTCGTTGTAACAACGTAGATCAATATTAATATTCTTCTTCTTCTTCTTCTTCTTCTTCTTCTTCTTCTTCTTCTTCTTCTTCGTCTTCTTTTTCTTGTTATTATTGTTTAGTTGTTTATTTATTTTTGAGATTTAAGTTTAATAGATAGCCCGTGGTCTACCCTACGGGTGCGTTCTTGAGAGGTGATCTTGATTAGAATCAGTGATCCAAGATCACTAAGATCACGGTACATCCAAGGAGCCGATGAATCCACTCTGGTCACGGATTTATCGGCTTTTGTGATGTACCATAGTCCAAGTTTTCTTGGATCACTGATCCTGATCCAGATCGCCCCATAGGAATGCACCCTACAAGGTGAAATATTTTTGGTTGGCCGTGCATGTGAAAATTACCGATAAGGTGGAAGACTATAAAAGTTAGAGCAGTCATTATCAGTAAATTTCCGAAGCAGCTTTTACCGAACTAAGTTGGTCTTTTGCGTCATCCTTAGTCCAAATGTTGCTTTCCAAATTACGTTTTCCGTCGCTGATGGTGACTTTTTAGAAGTCATGGTAAGATCGATGATTAGTCTAAAACGTATTTTCAGTTTGCCTGTGAAATTTGGTGTAAAAAAAGTCAGGGTAGACTAAATAAGTAGTCGTAATTAATGTGGGAAAGTAATAGAAGCATTTACTAGACGTATTACTGACAACTTCAATTAATCGTCAGATGTTGAAAGACTTGGTGGCAAAACGCATGCTAAAACTACAGCAATCAGCAGTTTACAGTGGAACTGTATCAGCTTTAAGGCGGAAAGTGGCGATTCTTGAACGAAGAAACATGCAGTTGGAGGATAAAGCTGATAGACTTCAGACATCCATTATGAATCTCTACAGCGAGGTGGGATATTATAAAATGTCATGGTTAATGTTTAAGTAATTGTTAATGTAACGAGACTTACATTCATTGCTCAGAAATAGCTTCGACTACCGACGACCAGCTGACTGCAACGGCGATCATGTATCTTGCTAAAGGAGTAAGAACAGGCTAATATAGCACAAACGCTTTTGCAGTTTGCACGCTGGTTTGCAACAATATTTCCCGCAATAAGTATTATTATCAAGTAAGTACAGATAGAGCGTTTTTTTTTTAACTTGGTACCACGACGATCTGGTTGATATTACAAGAAAACTAAATTAGTCCCCTCGGGAAATGATTTCTGTTCTCACGCCGTTAAATGGCCTATTGTTTGACGTTGTTTGGAAACACAAATACGTGGCTACCGTGAAAAAGTCCTTAAGGATTTGCGCGAGATGTACGTTTGCTTTCAGCTGTTGCACTCACGGGATTGCTGGAAGAATATAGAGTGTATGACGTGCATTTTGTCTTTAGAGAGAGAACAGGACGGCTACGACTGTATCACGAGGCACTCAAGTCTCTATGGGAATGGTAAGTGTGTCCTTTAGTATGTCGACATAATACCGTGGATATTTTAAGAAGTCCTTTGCTTATTCTTGTTCAACCCCATTTGGGGCGTTTATTCTGCAAAGAAAAGCAAATAAACAAATCAAAAACGACACAGAACAATGAAAAAAAAAAAAGAAATAAAGGAAAAAAAAAAAGATGCTGAACGCGCCAAGTTTAAATCCCCGACACATGGCAACACCTGACCTTTTTTGGATCTATCGTAACTATTGTTTCTCACTTCTTGCTATTTGTTTAGATTCTGAGTCGGGCTTGGACGGCTAGTCACGGCGCAGAGAAGCCTGTGACAACTGCTTCAGAAGAACGGAGACCGTCATGCGGTTCTGAGGACGGACCAGTCATAGTAAAAGTTTGTGGTGCATCTTCCAACGTTCAACCTACGCAAAACCCGCCAGCAGTTTTTCACAATACATGGCAGCAACCAATGACATCATTTCCTTCTTCACAAAGGAGCCAAGCTAACGCCTCGCTCCCCAAAATACAGTATGTTACTTCCGGAGATGGCTTAGTACCTAGAACGCCTTATCACCATCCACCTGTACACTGTCGCGAGACATTTATACTTCCAGAGCATCGATTTCTTGGCCACAGGTCAAATGGAATGCCCATTTCTCAAGGAAACAAAGCCGGGTCTTTGCAAGCCACAACCATACCCATACAAAGCTCAGTGACAAGCAATATAGCAATGAATTGTGCCGCTGCTAACAATGTAGGAAAGCAAGGCCAACTGTCGGGCGTGGCAGTACCCTGTTCAGGCAGTGTTCCTGTGTGCATACAAAAAACTAGTACCGGGCCGATACATCGCATCGCCACCGTCCGACCTCAGCAAGTACTTCCTTCCACTTCGATTATTCCTGTTAGTCAAACTGCTGTCCAGCAAACGACTCAAGTACCACAACCTCCTCATGTTCAGCCTGCGCCTTCAAATCATCCGAGACCAGGTGATCGGAACACTCAGTCAACTTATCAGGCATCTCGCCACGTTCCACCACAAAATAACGAAAATGACTCACCAACAGCAAGACTGGTACTTATGTACAGTCAGAGTGGAAATACTCTCACTACTTCGAAGCAAAGTGGCGTTAGAAGCGACCAGCTAGTCGCGTTTCGAGACCAATGTCCTGAGACGGTTGCACAGATTACCCAAGAAGACCAGGCTCAGACCAAAGAAGGCGACCCCAAGCCAGAAAATACACCGCCTGCAAACAGTCCATCCTCCCAGTATCGCATCCGAGGTTTTCACGAAATGCTACCCGATTCGTACCCCAACGTGAAACATAACTGCAGAGCTAAGGCAGATTCAGTCCCAGCTTTAGGACGGAAACAACGTTCGCAATCCACAGGTGAGACTGCTTCGAAATCAAGTGAGCTTCACACTAGCCAGGAAGTTACAGCACCTAGACGGCGAAGACCCCCTCTGGGTTGTCCATGTTGTTCCCCAGATACCAGCAAAAGAAACACAGCTGGAAGCCAAAATTCAGAGAAAAGGCAAGGTAACATTTCGCCAACGCATGTATGTCGGCAGCAACAAAGTCATAGTCAGTTAGGACACGACAAGGATCAATTGATGGTGCCTGCTGATATAACACGTGCTAATGCTCAGGGAGTTGCAACTCAGTCAGCTTTATCCTCCGCTTTTTCACAACAACAGTGTCTTCCAGTCACGCAACCATCACTTAACTCTCAGCATTCTATTTCAACTGCAGCATCTGCCAATCAAACAGCTTCAACGACTTCAAATTATCAGTACCATCAGAATCTCTCCAAAGGTCAACTGAACTTTCCAACATCTGCCCAACAATCACTCCAAACCGGAAACACACACCCAGTAGCTCCTGAAAATGCATATCTCAAACAATCGTTTGAAGTGCCGCGACCTGTACAGCCCACGCAGTTAGTGCCACAACAAACGGGAGCACAGAACAGTCCCGCCCCAGTGAGAAAATCGTTAGATCGACCAGTTTCTTTTCGTCAGCAAGAAACTAGAGGGTTCCCTAACCAAATGGCACAAGCCGGTTTTCATCATCAGCGACGTGGTCATCCTCCCCAGACTCAAATATATTACAATCCAAACGAGCAGATTGCTCCACATAAAAAAGACTATAGTACCGTAGGTATTCAGGGATACATTCATCATCAACAACAACACCACCAACATCAGCATCAGCAACGACAACAGCAACAGCAACAACTTCAACCACTGCAGCAACTTTTACCTCAGCAGCCACAACAATTACCACTTCCAATACCACCACCACCACAACAACTACAACAACAACCACATCAACAACAACAACAACCGCAACCACAACAGCAAAGACAACAGCAATACCAACTACCACAGCACTACCAACAACCACAGCATTACCAACAATACCAACAGCAACTGCAACCTTCCTGGTTAACGCAGTATCAGCAAAGAGCAGGTTACTTGCAGCCTCCAGCGGCACCAAATCAGCTCCAACAAACCATGATATACCCCAAATCACATTTAAGTACACAACCACTCTGGCAATATAACCGTCAATTTACAGTGCCAAATATGAATCCTAATGGGATGCTTGTTCCTGGACAATCTGTCCGTTTTAATAATACGACGAATGCCAAAAATTACCACTCTGTACAAGCTCCTCCTAGTCAAACACAGCCCACTACACCATTTGAGTGTCCTCCTCAAAGTATGAGAGATGGTACCTATTATCACCAGGAGATGCAAACACAGGCTTATCAAAATCAAAGAGACGTCCCCATCTCTTCAGGACAAGTTAGCCAGCAGCACTTACGCCATAACCAAATGGTAGACGCCTCACCAAATGGGTTGCAGTCCTCGCAGTTAGCTGTCCCTCTACGAAACAGCCCAAATGCCAGTTTTTTATTTTCCAATCAGAGTCTGATGAGGTTTTCTACTTCATCCATGCCATCGACGCAAAATGGTACTCAAGCAAATTCTACAAACGTAGTGCGGAAGCTGTCATCTTTGTCTGGTAGGGAGAATGGACATCCAGTTGTAAGAAGTGCTTCTCTGTCAAATCCTACCACGCCTTCTTCATCTAAAACAATAACAGATGACCGTTTTCCAGAAAGTCAGTGCGTAACTTCTTCGGCTAGCCAATCCGAAACGAATGACTACGCTCTTGCTCTAACAGTCAGGGGTGCGCAAATGGGATCTGTTCAAGATTCTAATTTGAAAAACGGTGGCAAAGTCACGCCTAAAGAAGATGCTTCCTTGGTTTCAACTATTTATCAGGGAGGCAGTGGTTATTTTCAGTCGTCCCCTTCTCAACCCTCAGCAGAGAGCACGCTCTCCCACAATGCTAATAACTCTGTCCGTTTACCAATATGTACAGAGAAAGATAATCAGTGCAACCAAACGTTGTCAATCCCACACCAAGATGATTCCACTCACGTTTATACACCGGAAGATAGACTACACTCACAGGCCCGAGCCATGAGTAGACTAGAAGATCACGAGGATGGCAAAGTTAGTAACCATCTGGACTCTATAAAACCTGTTCTTAGTGTAGAACAAAGTGACAATGGAATTATTTTGTCATGGGATTTAAAAAACCGCGAAGACGAATCAAAAGTTGTCAAGTATGAACTATATGTGATGTCCGTTGCCACCGAAGCGGGACGTTTGGCCAATTGGGAAAGTTTGGGTATCGTGGACGCTCTCGCTCTTCCTATGGCATGTACGATGACTCAGTTTCTCCAAGGAGCCTCGTATCATTTTGCTGTTCGTGCTATCACAGCAAATGGCCAGTGTGAACTGTTTAGTGATCCTTGCTCAATCACCGTTAATGGGTCACACTAACTGGTTTATTTTTTGTGTACCTTACCGTATGTTGATTCGGGGTTTGAGAATTAACTTCTTCCGTTTTTGTTTTGTTGCTTTCCTGTGGTCGACGGAATTTCTACGGTGTACCGAATTTAAGCACTGAGTGCTACCTGAGAGTGTTTAGCCAATCAGAGCACGATTTCAAAAGAAAGATTCTGAATTTGTTGATGATCTCACCAATCGAGCAGTGCGATTGTGAGCAATTAATAGAGATAATTTTTATCGGCTGTTAAATAAGTCCAAATTTCTTTGACTTTAACAGCGCGACAAGTGAGCGACAAAAGTATTAAATTTCATTTAATACCAGCGCGTAGAAAACAACTCCCAGCAATAATGCTATGATTTAAAACAAATTATTCCCAAAACGATTCAAAATTTTGATCAAGTTACCAAAACAAACTCGACCCTCAGACGCAAAACCTGTCGACCAGAACATAATTTTGAATCAACCCGCCAGCTCGGCCAAGTGTAGGAAACAGAATTGTGAACCAGTCTAGCGACCACAGTGATTGCGAACACAATGTGGATTTCCCGACTCTTAAGTCAGCGTTAGAAATAATTTTTAACCCAGTGGTAGATGTTATCTCGACACCAGCAACAGACCAGAGCTGTGATTGGTTGAAACTTTCAGGTGGCCAGATTGAAGATGTTGCACCGAAATTTAGATTCACGCTTTCGGATAAAAACGCCCGGGAAATTCATAATTATTGCAAGCTAAAGATCAATTTCTGTCTGCCCTTATTATCTTTGGAAAAACAAATGACTGGCTTCAATGTTTTAACTCAGCCCTGTATTGAAGCCACCATGACGTCAATCCAGATGATCCCAGATATCCATTCGCGCCGAACTAACCGACGTTAATTATTCGAGAGTTGGAAATTCAATTTGGAATAGAGCAATGGAAAGCAATAGATGCTGGAAGGAGGCATCGACTTAGTCCTTGATCGTTTTGTTGACTGTTGCGTATGGTTGTAGCGAGCACAATTATCTTTTGTTTCTGAAGGCGAATTTGTCTAGTTTTGTTACTACAGTATAGAAGGAAATTCTCATGTTTACCGTAAGGGAGCAGTTGAGTCAATATTTTGTTCTTTCCCCAGAACTGCTCTACTTGTATGTAAATAAAGATTCTTGTCTTCGTTCGACAGATTGCATAAGGTGCAGGAGTCTCCTATCATTTGTCTGTCTCTTTAATAACAGAGTGGTTATCGATTGCGTGAAGCCCTCCAGAAGAAAAAAAAAAACAAAAAAAACCTATATATTAAATGGTAATCAGACGAAATCGTCCCAGCGAAATAGCTTTATCTTACCATATGTCAGTCAATTGATCGAATATCGAATGCCACGATACTTAAAGGCACTTTTAGCTGATTTGTCTCAAGAACATGGAGGTTATTTTTTTTTCGCCATAATATAATCTTATTAATTCCAAATTGTAGGTATATACAACAGCTATGGAATCACCAAAAACCTATATCTATGCCTTTCTGTGTCTGTAAAAACGGGCGGCCGTCGCAGAGGTATTTGAACTCTGATTTTAAACGCCTTTTTTCTGTTTTCTTTTCAGAATTCACTTGAATGAGGATTTGCATTTTTTTCGCTGGTGAAGTGTCTTAGTCAACGTCACAGGTCTCGTTGATCTGGAATTGTAATGTAATTTTTTTTTTCCCGCGGCGTTTCTTGACTACCTTTGATCATCATTTACTCAAACTAATTATCTTGTCTAGGGGGGCGTGTACTATATTAAGACAATAAGACCAAGGAGAAAAACATTAAGGAAAACGGTGTGGTTATGGCTAATCACCTGCACGCGTGCTCAGAATCGACCTATCCAATGTGTTTAGCACCAACGGGCAGATGTTTTTAACTAATGGCTCTTTTGACCATTGTAGTTTAACGTTTGATTGATCTGACGTTTGAGCTCGTCTTTGATGCAACGATTGCATTATCTGTGCAAGGAAACCGCCATTGTAGCCGTTGTATGTGTAGTATATGAGCTGTGTGTGTTTGTCTTACCACAGAAACCTTTCCATTACTAAAAATTAATTGTATCAATTTATTTCCAGAGTTTATGACTTTGTATGCTTTTGCCATACCCCGTTGTTACTGTCGTAATAGGTGGAAACATCTCCGCCAAATACCAGATTCTTTTATGTAATGAATAATCATCGAGCAGCTGCATTTTAGGCAGTCAATACTGGAAACTAAGTATTTTCCAACAACAGAAGGAAAAACGATTGCCGGTCTGATCGTCAACCTGTTTGGTCTTTGTGCCAGTGCAACCGCCGTCTGAAAAATAGATGAAATTGTCACTTGTACTTTAAGTTTCCAAAGTGCCGACATGATACATCTACAGCTTTTTGGCGACAAGAGTTTGCCGCAAGAATAATTGGATATCAAACCAGCCTATTAGTATTCCGACCATCTTTGTAAGCACCAAATCTTAGTTTTTTTTATTGCGCTCAAGCCACAATGATCAATGATTAATAGACCGTCTTGAAGCCAAAATCGACGACAACATCTCCAAGGAAAAGTAAAAAATAAAAATAAATTCCCGTAACTAGCACGCTCACCGCACTATATCAATTGCCTATTTTTCCGATTTTCGAGTTCGAAAATAGCTTTTGGCACTTCCATTGTTTTTCATTTGCGCGTTTTTTACTCAGAAGTGAAATTTGAGGTTTGCAATATTATTATTCCATCAGTCAATCAGCACCGCTAAACAAATCTCGCAGGTATTGTACGAACCAGTTCTTTCATTTTCCTCGTTGCTTTTGTTTCTGAAAAAACGCTGAAATACAAAACTACAAAAAAAAGCACATTTTGATATGGAAATTTCTGGTCAATTTAGATTTTTCAGAAATTAAGAGTTGACATAACTTGAGCTTTTTTACGCAATTCTAAATTCGCGTCAAAAGGTAACAGTGTTTTAAACATAGACGAGGAATTATTCCAAGCAATCTGTAGATTAACACCAGCTGGCAATTCGCTGTCCGCCTTTTCTAACGCAACCTCGTCGATCTTGACTTGAACTAGCCAAAAAAAAAAAAAGCAAAAACAAACAGAACGGAACAAGAGTTGTTAGTCCTTTGGTGCATTCTGCAACAGAATAGACCGACATTTAACATATTTACAGTAGTAGATGAAAAAATAATAATAATAATAATGAAATAAAATAAAATAGAATAAAAGGAAAGCAGGAAGTACAAAACATGAAAGCAGACTGACATCCTCCATAATCTTCTGTCGGGTTTTTACTGTATAATGTACAGTTATATTGCATATTACAAACGTATGTTTTCGGACTAATTTTTAACGTAGTATATATTTATATAGTTTATTATTTTTCTTTTACATGATTATCTGTTTAATGTAAAGGTCTCTCTCTCCCTGTGAGTGAGCAAAGCGAGTAATGAAATTAGCGGCTTCAGACCCGATGCAAACGATATGCATAATTTTCTCCCGTTAACGCGGATTGATTTGAATTACAATAGAAATACAAAGACGACAAAATAACACCAACATTAAAACCATTGCTGCATTTCTTTTCGATCGTTTTTCTTTGAGAAATGAGATTCTCTCCTGTTTAACGCAGGCTGTTGCTGTTATGGAGTATTTACAAATAAATCATTTTGTCGAAGTAACTTTGCACACACTGTGTGCTCATTCACAAACCGAGGAAACTAGACCTTGAATGGTTTGTACAAATGTACATTGCTATTTACAGAGAATTTATTTGCATTTACCGAATGAATCAGGTCGTGTTACGTTTTACTCGTAAAAGAAAACCTTGTATATCGTATGCGATACGCGCATTGCGGTTGGTGAACGGGTCACATCTTGGTGACAAAAAATAAAAGGAATTGAAAGGTACACGCGCCTTGAAGATCTTCTAACTGACATTTACAACTGGAAATGTGGTCAAAATTCAGTCGAGTAGCTTCTATCGAGCGACAAGAGTTCAGTCTGTTTGTATATCTCATTGATACATAAAACAGACAATCTGTGGGTGTCCCTCGCGAACTGCATCGCTTGGGACGTGACCTGAAGGAACGCTTTAAATTTCAAAACATGAATTTTCAATGAGTGTTTACAAACTCAATGATTGGGTTTCGATCCGCTTTCAGTTCTTCTAACGCTCCCGAAAGAGTTTCCACGATTCCCAGCCCTCGTCAATGGCATTTTGTCGAGGTGAATGTGGTTTAAATGCCCGTGGGATTCAAATTACACGTCTGGCTGTTGATGGAGTTGTTTTTGTGCCATTGTTTTTTTGCACATGGCGCTCGCGAAGCACGTGACTTAACTAAAACGTTTCACGGCACCTTCCTTTCGCACCTTGAAGTAAAATAATGGCAATGAACCAGAGTTAAGCGGTGTAGGACCTCGGTCTTGAATAATTGTTGTTCCCAAAGTTTCTTTTCCGCCAAGTACGCCCTTCACGATCTCTTTTCAAGATTCCGGAGTTACGTGCGCGCTCTCGATGTATTTCAGCAAGGTCTCGAACGCGTTCCCGTCCGTTACCGTCGTCGTCCTCTTCTAAAATATCGTCTAGGTCTGGCTCGTAAGAGGAATGGCGACGAATCCTGCTGCCTTTTACCTGCGGCGGAACGGTCTGTTGTTTCGCTGGCTCGAAACTCGCTTGGCTTGCTTCCATACTCTTGCTCAAAATTTCCACATCTTCGTTCGAGCTTTTCCTTGCGTATACTTTCTCCGCCTCAGCGCGTTGTGTTTCCTTCCATTCATTCATGGACACAGGTTTGTCCGTTATAAACAACATCTCCGCAAAATTCTGAAAATATTCCTGCGAAAATGTTCAGCACTGCGGAACGGGTCACGTTTGTACAATCCTTCTGACTTTAGCACTTGAAAGAACAAAAATGGAAATCTTGTTTACATCGCCTAGTATTTCACGTGCTATTAATATTAAATAGGCAGGGTGATACTGGAGTGGCGGGTGTCAACATTTAAATGACAAGCATGGCAACAGACGAAATTTGCTTGAAAATCCTTTCTTCAGCAGAAAATCCGGTTTAATGCACAGAAACAATTACCTCGCGTTCAATTGGTTCGTCTAATCTTAGAAACATGGACGAGAGTCCCTCAGAATTTATAATAACAGAAAATTTGCAAACTAATGTAAAAAAAAATGGTATTTTGAATTCAAATGANATAATGTAAAAAAAAAAAAAAAAAAAATGGTATTTTTGAATTCAAATGAACCGCATTAAAAAGGTGCGATAAGCAGCACATTAAATAACACTGTCACTGACGGGCATGGCAGCAGTGACAAGTTTATTATTGACCAAACCAAACCAAAGCGGAGAAAAAAATAATAAATACAATAATAACGAAGGACAATGTCAATACAAAAGAAATTTTCGTTTTTGAAAAGAAAAGATAAACGACCGAGGTAGAGGAACAATATACATGGACAATGACTTAAATATTACCTCAAAACAATGTGTAATGGCGATTTATTGGAGTTAACGATCGCAAAATGCGTTGCTTCTGGCACCTTGAGCATGCTTTGTAAATAACAATAACAGAGAATCGCTCAAAAGGCAATGAATTGACAGAACATGTCTCAACATCTCTACAAAAGCTTTGATTAGTTGTCAATCAAGTAAAATTCTGTCACGTTCGATTCAATGGAAGCTTGAATGCTAGTTGCAGATGCATGGTCTGCGTTCAGTTTGCTAAATTCTGCCTAAACATGCATTGTGGACTTAATTTGAAACTTTAAAAGTTGAACTCAATCGTGATACACCCCGCGGTGATTAAAGAAGAGGACCAATTTTATGATATTGCGCTCCTGTGGTTCAAGTCATTTTCAACTTTCCTCGGGTTTTTTTTTTATGAATCATTTTCTTCCTTCCAAATCAGTCTCTGCTCGACAAGTTACTTCTTAGTAAAAATAGCGCCGGTCTTTTTTAAAAACATGGAATTTACTACAAAACAAGGATGTCCCTCAGAGTTCCAATAGTGCCAGGTGAACTGGAAATAATTTTAAAGCTGCTGTTTTGCATAAGTCTTTTTCTAGTTATTTTTACTTTTTTGCATTATTTCAAAGCGACGCCTTTGTTGAATCAAGTCCTTGCATGCTGCGTAGCGGAAAGCACCAAAATTCGGGAGGCTCGATTAATTGAATACGTGCCGAGTGAATGAAAGACCGTACGAGTATTGCTCTTCCCGTAATTGAATGGCCGAGACAACTTGGCGGCGAAGTTAAAGTAATATGTAGTTGACATTTTCAGGCCTGTTTCTCCGTTTACCTCTTTTGAGCGAGTTTATGATACGTGTTTTGTGTTTTATCAATTTTCACTAACAACACTATTATTTCACTGCGTTTTGTTAACCTAAAGTGTTCTATAACAAGCGAAAGACAAACCTTGTTTCACTGCGTGACACCGTTTTAAATTCAGTCACATGTATAAAGATGAACCCTATAATCGTTTTATTTTGACACCCTTTTCCCGCTGTCGCACGCAATGTTATTTTAGTCTTAATTTGGGAAACCCGTCAGAAGAGATGAGTGATGTTGGTTTAAGACCTGAGGTAAAGAATCGCGCCGCCTTTGATAAGCTGCGTGTATATTAAATAAAGTATGTCTCTAGATAATTAGATCACTTTAAGACCTATGACCTTATCCTTGTGAACTACAGCGGCGTTAATTCGGAGGATTCAAAAACAAGAAGTAAACAACAAAACATTATCTATAATAAGATTAGTTGTAAATTGACGTTTCTGGCGTTTATAGAAAAATACTAACGCGGGAAACGCTGCCAGAAGTATGATAGCCTTGCTTCAGGGGAAAATGGTATAAGTTCAAACGTCTAAAAATAGAAATAAAGACAAACAGACAAAAGACGTGCTTTTACTGACCAAATTTTTAAAGAATTCTAATGAAGAACAAATTGCTAAAATATATCTCCTCCTCCTCATGCAAAGAGCGCGCAATCTCTTCGCGCCATCTTCATTGCTGGAAACATTAATTAAATACACGCGAAAATAAAGGTCTCGTGACAAACATTAAGGGTTTCGACTTGGCTCAAACTGTAGGACAAAAATAGCCTGCGAACAATCTCCCCCACCCCTACCCTAAGGTTAGGACAAAGTTGTCATAGCCTGCATAGCAGTCATCCCTGTCAGAAGGCCCCCGCCCTCCTCTCTGTCGATTTTTTGCTTTCGTCCTAAAGTTGCGCGACCGGAAACGCTTGCCACTCAGGATAAAATGGCCATAGCCGAGCAGTTCTTCACAAAAATCGTCATGCTTGTACCAAAGCGGATTTTTTTT